GGGGGGGGGGGGACATTACCATCTCGAGGTCTTATGCTCAAATTGTAAAAGGGCTGATTCATCAATGCCATGCTCATAACTGTGCCTGAACTGCAACAGGAAACTGGTGCTTTTTCTTTCTTAATCTTTACTATCGTCATTTCTCCTCTGCTTCTTTTGTATGTTTGTCACACTTTTGTGACCCGCTATTTCCGGGGTGCCTTGATAGTTGAAGCAGGCTTTATACTATTGAAGCTAGAGAGGTGAGCAGAGTAAGTCTGATTCCCTGTAAGGACTTCTCTGTTGACACCCACCCCTTGGCGCTCATATGACCTTATGCAGTTGCAAGGGTCGTAAAACTCTACTAAAACTAAAACTAAAACTAGAGAGGATGGCGCTTGTTAGAATCCCAGACTGGGCGTCGTGTCTTTTTAACTTGGGTGCTTTTTTGTGGAGTTTTCAAGGCTCTCTTAACCTATTTGGCTCGATCCTGTCGGAGACAGACGTTAAATTCGGAGGTACCGCTTCTTCAATAGTGTTGATAGGGGCGTTAAATCCAAAAACTTACTAACTAAAATTGGGAAAAAGCCTCAAACTGAAGTCGATGGCAGATTATTTTTAGGTACGTTGGAATCGGCCACAGTAGTTACCTGGTATGTATAAGGTATAAATATTCTCATGACAATATGTGAGGCATCGTGGTGGAATCAGACTCTCGTCAATTTTTGTGCATGTAGAGTTATAGTTATTGGTATCATCTTAAAGCTTGTTCACTTGTCTTTATTTAGAGAAAAAAAAATTCATTTATCTTGAATACAAGTTGAGATATTTGCGAATGAAGGCGGTTTCAGGGGTAAAATTAGTGAGAAAATGGCCGCCGAAGATAAGTTATTTCCTTAGCTTAAGAGTCCATGGTAACTGAAAATTTACATTTTTTTGTGCCTTTAATCAACGTTTTTCAAAAAAATCCACACCGAAATGAGTTCTTTAATGGGCATGAAAGGTGTTGAACCAAAAAACAAAAATTTTATACAAATTAATAAACCTGCGGAAAAGTGTAAGTTTCCTCGCTTTGATTATTTTGACGAGAGCCTGATTCCACCACGCTGCCTCACATAATATGAGCAACTGTACCTTCATTCCCTCAGATTGTCAACTACGGGCTGGGAGGTCATTACTTCCCACACATGGATTATCATTTGGTAAGTTTTTGATAACGCAACTGGTTACGTCTTAGTTTGGTCCGAGTATCTGTGGATTGGTCAAAATAATTCGTCAGCTACTGCGATTATTTATATGTGTTGTTATTCTTGTTTCTTTGTGTTATTCACGGCAGGTGGAGACGTTTGTCTTTTCTATTCATGGAATTCTTTTGCCGGATTTAACACATGCACATGATGATGATGATAATTGCATTTATATAGCGCATATCCATGCTCAAGAACATGCTCTATGCGCTTTACAACTATTATGTCTATAAGAGGAAGAATGTTGGAACACAGATATTACATTTTCACCATATTTTTTTGTTGGAATTTTTCGATACAAATGCTTCTGTTTTAAAATCTTGTAGAGGGGCTGTTTGTGAGATTCAGCCTGCTTTCTCAATATTTTAAAAACTGTATGTGTGTGTATATTTGTGTGTGCGTGTGAGTGCGTGAGCATGCGTGTGTGTGTGAGTGTTTGTGTGTGTGTGTGTGTGTGTGTGTGTGTCCGTGGAAGGTAGTCTTGCTCTTGGCTATTAGTATTACACCGATAATGAGCGGTTACCCTAGATAGTGACCGAAATTCCTTCGCATGGCTAATGACCAAAATGGCGACATTGGCATTTTGACCTCAACTGAAGACTGGAATGAATGGATTGAGCCTTTTATTGTGTAATGAACTTCCATTTTTTAAAATTCAATTGACCTCCATGGTGACCGTGACGTCGATGTCGCTAGCAGATGACAGCTTAACATATATCGTATCGAATTCGGTATCGACATCCACTGAGTCCACCCCGGTGGCGAAAACGTCCTCAGCACTAGCGTCTGTGGCCACCTGGATATCCACAGATGAGGAATCTTCTGCCACAACACGTACGGACACTCTGCCACCGTTCTTAATCTCAATTGCCAGAATGGGGCTTCGGGATGCCGATACTAGGACGTCATTTCTGGTCTCGCCAGCCATGATGGCCGTGGAGAAGAGTTCTACATTGCAGGAGGTCAAGTCGATACCGACCTCCGTAAAAGCGACTGGCACCTTAGTGTGATCGTACCCGAGGATGTAGCATGCCTGCATCACCCCGCAAGCCCCCTCCTGGAAGTTGGTGTTTTCTTCCCAGATGAGGCGATTGGCGTATAAGAAGCAGGCATACGCGTCTAAAATTGGCATGCCTTCCAGACTCACGAGACGGTAAAAAGCGTGATTGAAGATGCCACTGCTGTGGTGTACATCCATGCCGCCTCTATAATCATCGACGTGTTTGATAGATCTATTATCGTCTGGTGGATTGATAAAGTAGCGAAGAGGTCTGTCGCCTTTGAACAATTCATACCCAACCAACCAGTCGTTAGAACCACTTGCAAAGACTTCTGACACTTCACCTGAGATGTCAGAGAACGCTTCATTGATTCCTCCCGATTGATCACTGTAAATCAGATTGCTACTCCTCGATGTAATACCGTGGGCAAGTTCATGGGTGACAACGTCTTGGCTAACTAGAGGATAGAATGTAATACAGCCGTCTCCAAAGAACATATCTTCACCATTCCAAAATGCATTGTCAAAGCACACACCAAAGTGAACCACAAGACGAGGTGCGTACGGGAGAGCTCGGAAGTTGTAGGTCTCCACATATAGAAGTGCAGTTATAGTCCCAAAGTATAATGCATCTGAGGCCACACCATAGGCCCCGTTGGCAGGATCCCGGGGCCCTCTCAAGCAGTTGAAACTGAGGGGATTTGATTTTGTTGTACTCCAGGACCACTTGTTGTCGATAACTTCCACATACGTATTACGCATAGTGCATGTGCGTCCATCTTTCTGCGCCTCCAAACAACGTCCTTCAATGTTGTACGTAATCCTCCCTGTCTTGGGATTGCCCCCCACACCGGCCACGAAAGGGTTGCACTTTATACACTCGTCTTGTCTTCTGTGCTTCACCTCTTGCGACGAGCTGACGTTGTTAATTTGATCATAATGGATGATGACAGACTTGTTACAGGCGTTAATGAAGTAAGCTGGTCGGCTGATCACGTGCCGGTTGGCGTAGATGAACTCCACGCGATACGCCAGAGAGGCCACATGAGTGTCGGGATCCACCCACACGACTCGTCGACCGTCTTTGTGATCTATATGTGGGTCATAAAGGTCATAGTTCTCTGCCCCGGTAGCTATCCCCAGCATCTCCGTTATAGATCTCTGACACGCGTTGGTGTCTGGGATGTCACTGTGTAGGTCAGTAGCAACCCTGGCGTACATGCGCCCAGTCAACTGTCCGGTCAAGTCAGTCTCGGCTGCTGCCACTGTGCCAATAACGTCAAGGTGACCGAAGGTCTCCACGAGACGGCGGCGATTAACGCCCGTGGCTGTCGTAACCACGTCATCATTGGCAAGTCGGAACCTCGCGCCGGGCTCCAGGTTGGCGGAGTAAGCCAGACTAGCCAGGGTAATCTGAGACCTTTTGTGACTTGATGCTTCTCCACCCACACGCACCTCGACCATCCGAGCAGCATCGACTACAACACAAGTCAACAAAACTACACAGACGAACATCGGAAACTTCATGGCGTTCAAGTCCATCCTTTTTAATCTACAGTCCGTGTTGAATAGGACTGCTCACAACATGATACCCACTAAACCTTTTATACTACCATTTCCACATGTGAGAAACACGCGTCATCTCCAGAGAGGAAATAAGAAGATCTGTTCCACCTCGTGCTGGGGATAAAGGGCTTAACACTGCCTCGGGAAATAGTTTGAGACACTTTACTTTAGGATGGAATTTTTTTTTCAATAGTTGACCTTCTTTCTCGATTAACTTTCCCACCCCCATGCCCGGATTAATTAAGGGTGTTGTGTAAAGCTTCACATATATTCACCCCTCCCTATCCATCTCACTTCGCAGTATCCCGTTACAGCCTCCTGTGTTGATAGGTTTTCGTGTTTCTTTTCTTGAATGAGTCAGTGACACTGATAGAAAAGCAGTCAAGGTAAATGTAAAGCTAATGAGTTCTTACTTATACATATTTCTCTCCTTATCAAAACAGCAACACGTTATTGACGCTCAGTATGGTGTTTTGGAGAACAGTGGAGACAGACTGGCGACCTTCATGTATTATGTGAGTCTCGTCAAACTGGATTTGCTTTCACTTTCACTTTAACGCTAAACTTAACACAAAATATAAACTGCCTTTTCCAAGACGGGTGATTTAGGTATCCAATCAAGATTAAGAAGAGAGACTGAGCAAGAGATGGAGGGAGAATGAGAATGGGGGGGGG